CACTTGAATCAAACTTCATTATGATTTCAATATGACAATTCTTTTCATCTGCACTTTGTTCATAGAAAAAACTGCGGATTTTTTTCTGTTTTCCACAAATTTGTCTCCTTTTATCATATCACGATGTTGTCTTGCGCCTATTCGGAGAAGCGATGTTATCACCGCTTGACCAAAAATACGATTACCTTATCGAAAAAGGATATTTCTGTATGTAGCGCTGGCTAGAAAATCGTGATTAGCATTATCAGCAATAATCCTGATAAGATATGGTGCTAGATTGTGCGGGTCCGGGTCAAATAAACAAGGAAGGTTCCGAAATAACACCTCATAAAATGGACCAGAGAGTAAACTACGTTCCTTGGGCAACTGAGTCATCATTTACCTTTCTTATACAGCTGGAAGGTTCTATGACCTGCATCGATAGCAATGGAGATAGGGCCTTGGGTCGCGACTGCTACCTGGAACAAAATTTTTCGACTTGACCAAAAAATAAAAGTAATTTTCTCACCTTCAAAGCCTCTTCGTCTCCTTCTGGAAGATCAACAAATCCCTTGTCGTCGGCACCGATGTCCTTTGCCTTAAAATGGCATTTCGTTTCCTGAAAATTGAAGAATGAGATTTTTACTGCAGAAAAATTGAAAATAAATCATACCCTGCCGACATAGGGGTAGCTCTCTTCGGTGTCTATTCCATGATTCTCCTTAATGTATTCAAAAGCAAGATCCATGAGACCACCATTGCAGCCGTGATTTCCATACTTAGTTGAGCAATCTACCAGATTTTGCTCGGAAAGGGAAACCTAAAGATCTGGGATAGAATTTGTTTTTTGTTGAAAAATTGTATTTGTTGACCATTTTTCCAGCGGCACGAGCATGCTGTCCTTCGAGGGCTCCGGTAGCTGAGAAAGCCCAGCAAGATCCGCACATTCCTTGGTTTTTCACATCGGTAACGAGTCCCTTTTCTCGCCAGTCGATTGATTCAGGAATCTGAAAAAAAAAAGATGCCATATGACAGACTACAAAATCAATCGCTTGGCTAGAACATAAACTTCTCAACATGTAAGTCTCTA